GTCACGGGGCCAAAACCAGAGTGTGGAGCCACAGTGTGGCGGTGGAGGCAGCAGCAATGGAAGGCCATACAGCACCCTATGACAAAATGGAACCCACCAGCAGTGTGAGGAGACCTGAAAGTGGCACATGGCAGAGTGTGGCGATGGAGACAGCAGCAATGGGAGGCGGTACAGGGACCCATGACACACTCTGGACCTGGCAGCAGCATGAGGAGGCGGTACAGGGGCCCATGACAGATTACGGGCCTGGCAGCAGCATGAGGAGTCGGTACGGGGGCCCATGACACACTCTGGACCTGGCAGCAGCATGAGGAGACGGTACAGGGGCGCATGACAGATTACGAGCCTGGCAGCAGCAACTTGGACAGGAGGACGTTCAGCTTCTGCACCGTCGGGTGCGTGCTCGCAAACTGTTGTCTCTTGGAAACGGATTCCAAGAAAGACTGCTGACGGAATCCGTGAAGAGGAGTAGCAGGAGAAGGAGCATCTGAACGAGCGGAATATGCCAACAAGCGACAACAGGGGCCCATGACAGATTACGGGCCTGGCAGCAGCATGAGGAGTCGGTACGGGGGCCCATGGCAGATTACGGGACTGGCAGCAGCAATGGGAGGCCATAGAGCACCCTATGACAAAATGGAAACCCACCAGCAGTGTGAGGAGACCTGGAAGTGGCACATGGCAGAGTGTGGCGATGGAGACAGCAGCAATGGGAGGCGGTACAGGGACCCATGAGACACTGTGGACCTGGCAGCAGCATGAGGAGGCGGTACAGGGGCCCATGGCAGATTAAGGCCTGGCAGCAGAAATGGGAGGCCCGTAATCTGCCAGCACCCTATGACAAAATGGAACCCTGGGCTGGGGCAGGCAGAACCGCCGTATCTTTATCACGGTTTTCCCAGGCCACCGAATGGCGACGCTGCATATGCTGACGCAACGCTGTAGTCCCAACATGGGCCCCCCTGGCCACGCTTGACTTTCTGGCCACATAGTCGACATACGGCTACGTTTACTTCCTCGGGCGGCTTGACGAAAAATTGCCACACCGCCGAGTAGGAAACTTTGCCCCCCGCTACTCCTCACTGGCTGACTGCTACTTCCTCTGTGCACACCGGCACCACTACTGGCCGTGGTGGTAGGCTGCAGTGGAGCTGGTGCTCTACTCCGTGGCCGTTTGCCTCCACTGACACTGCTGCGACCCTGCTGCCCTCCTGGCAGCAGCAATGGGGAGGAGGAGGCGGTACAGGGGCCCATGGCAGATTAGGGGCCTGGCAGCAGCAATGGGAGGCCCGTAATCTGCCAGCACCCTATGACAAAAAATGGAACACACCAGCAGTGTGAGGAGACCTGAAAGTGGCACATGGCAGAGTGTGGCGATGGAGACAGCAGCAATGGGAGGCCGTACAGGGACCCATGAGACACTGTAGACCTGGCAGCAGCATGAGGAGGCGGTACAGGGGCCCATGGCAGATTAGGGGCCTGGCAGCAGCAATGGGAGGCCCGTAATCTGCAAGCACCCTATGATAAAAAATGGAACACACCAGCAGTGTGAGGAGACCTGAAAGTGGCACATGGCAGAGTGTGGCGATGGAGACAGCAGCAATGGGAGGCCGTACAGGGACCCATGAGAGACTCTGGACCTGGCAGCAGCATGAGGAGGTGGTACGGGGGCCCATGGCAGATTACGGGCCTGGCAGCAGCAATGGGAGGCCCGTAATCTGCCAGCACCCTATGACAAAAAATGGAACACACCAGCAGTGTGAGGAGACCTGAAAGTGGCACATGGCAGAGTGTGGCGATGGAGACAGCAGCAATGGGAGGCCGTACAGGGACCCATAAGACACTGTGGACCTGGCAGCAGCATGAGGAGGCGGTACAGGGGCCCATGGCAGATTACGGGTCTGGCAGCAGCAATGGGAGGCCCGTAATCTGCCAGCACTCTATGACAAAATGGAACACACCAGCAGTGTGAGGAGACCTGAAAGTGGCACATGGCATGACACACTGTGGACCTGGCAGCAGCATGAGGAGCAGCGGTACAGGGGCCCATGGCAGATTAGGGGCCTGGCAGCAGCTATGGGAGGCCCGTAATCTGCCAGCACCCTATGACAAAAAATGGAACACACCAGCAGTGTGTGAGGAGACCTGAAAGTGGCACATGGCAGAGTGTGGCGATGGAGACAGCAGCAATGGGAGGCCGTACAGGGACCCATGAGACACTGTGGACCTGGCAGCAGCATGAGGAGGCGGTACAGGGGCCCATGGCAGATTAGGGGCCTGGCAGCAGCAATGGGAGGCCCGTAATCTGCAAGCACCCTATGACAAAAAATGGAACACACCAGCAGTGTGAGGAGACCTAAAAGTGGCTCATGGCAGAGTGTGGCGATGGAGACAGCAGCAATGGGAGGCCGTACAGGGACCCATGAGAGACTCTGGGACTCTGGAGGCAGCAGCATGAGGAGGTGGTACGGGGGCCCATGGCAGATTACGGGCCTGGCAGCAGCAATGGGAGGCCCGTAATCTGCCAGCACCCTATGACAAAAAATGGAACACACCAGCAGTGTGAGGAGACCTGAAAGTGGCACATGGCAGAGTGTGGCGAATGGAGACAGCAGCAATGGGAGGCCGTACAGGGACCCATGAGAGACTCTGGACCTGGCAGCAGCATGAGGAGGCGGTACGGGGGCCCATGGCAGATTACGGGCCTGGCAGCAGCAATGGGAGGCCCGTAATCTGCCAGCACCCTATGACAAAAAATGGAACACACCAGCAGTGTGAGGAGACCTGAAAGTGGCACATGGCAGAGTGTGGCGATGGAGACAGCAGCAATGGGAGGCCGTACAGGGACCCATGAGACACTGTGGACCTGGCAGCAGCATGAGGAGGCGGTACAGGGGCCCATGGCAGATTACGGGCCTGGCAGCAGCAATGGGAGGCCCGTAATCTGCCAGCACTCTATGACAAAATGGAACACACCAGCAGTGTGAGGAGACCTGAAAGTGGCACATGGCATGACACACTGTGGACCTGGCAGCAGCATGAGGAGGCGGTACAGGGGCCCATGGCAGATTAGGGGCCTGGCAGCAGCTATGGGAGGCCCATAATCTGCCAGCACCCTATGACAAAAAATGGAACACACCAGCAGTGTGTGAGGAGACCTGAAAGTGGCACATGGCAGAGTGTGGCGATGGAGACAGCAGCAATGGGAGGCCGTACAGGGACCCATGAGACACTGTGGACCTGGCAGCAGCATGAGGAGGCGGTACAGGGGCCCATGGCAGATTAGGGGCCTGGCAGCAGCAATGGGAGGCCCGTAATCCGCCAGCACCCTATGACAAAAAATGGAACACACCAGCAGTGTGAGGAGACCTGAAAGTGGCTCATGGCAGAGTGTGGCGATGGAGACAGCAGCAATGGGAGGCCGTACAGGGACCCATGAGAGACTCTGGACCTGGCAGCAGCATGAGGAGGTGGTACGGGGGCCCATGGCAGATTACGGGCCTGGCAGCAACAATGGGAGGCCCGTAATCTGCCAGCACCCTATGACAAAAAATGGAACACACCAGCAGTGTGAGGAGACCTGAAAGTGGCACATGGCAGAGTGTGGCGATGGAGACAGCAGCAATGGGAGGCCGTACAGGGACCCATGAGACACTGTGGACCTGGCAGCAGCATGAGGAGGCGGTACAGGGGCCCATGGCAGATTAGGGGCCTGGCAGCAGCAATGGGAGGCCCGTAATCTGCCAGCACTCTATGACAAAATGGAACACACCAGCAGTGTGAGGAGACCTGAAAGTGGCACATGTTATGACACAGCTGTGGACAGGGCCCATGAGAGCTCTGGACCTGGCAGCAGCATGAGGAGGCGGTACAGGGGCCCATGGCAGATTAGGGGCCTGGCAGCAGCTATGGGAGGCCCGTAATCTGCCAGCACCCTATGACAAAAAATGGAACACACCAGCAGTGTGTGAGGAGACCTGAAAGTGGCACATGGCAGAGTGTGGCGATGGAGACAGCAGCAATGGGAGGCCGTACAGGGACCCATGAGACACTGTGGACCTGGCAGCAGCATGAGGAGGCGGTACAGGGGCCCATGGCAGATTAGGGCCTGGCAGCAGCAATGGGAGGCCCGTAATCTGCCAGCACCCTATGACAAAAAATGGAACACACCAGCAGTGTGAGGAGACCTGAAAGTGGCACATGGCAGAGTGTGGCGATGGAGGACAGCAGCAATGGGAGGCCGTACAGGGACCCATGAGAGACTCTGGACCTGGCAGCAGCATGAGGAGGCGGTACGGGGGCCCATGGCAGATTACGGGCCTGGCAGCAGCAATGGGAGGCCCGTAATCTGCCAGCACCCTATGACAAAAAATGGAACACACCAGCAGTGTGAGGAGACCTGAAAGTGGCACATGGCAGAGTGTGGCGATGGAGACAGCAGCAGCAATGGGAGGCCGTACAGGGACCCATGAGAGACTCTGGACCTGGCAGCAGCATGAGGAGGCGGTACAGGGGCCCATGGCAGATTAGGGGCCTGGCAGCAGCAATGGGAGGCCCGTAATCTGCCAGCACCCTATGACAAAAAATGGAACACACCAGCAGTGTGAGGAGACCTGAAAGTGGCACATGGCAGAGTGTGGCGATGGAGACAGCAGCAATGGGAGGCCGTACAGGGACCCATGAGAGACTCTGGACCTGGCAGCAGCATGAGGAGGCGGTACAGGGGCCCACGGCAGATTACGGGCCTGGCAGCAGCAATGGGAGGCACGTAATCTGCAGCACCCTATGACAAAAAATGGAACACACCAGCAGTGTGTGAGGAGACCTGAAAGTGGCACATGGCAGAGTGTGGCGATGGAGACAGCAGCAATGGGAGGCCGTACAGGGACCCATGAGAGACTCTGGACCTGGCAGCAGCATGAGGAGGTGGTACAGGGGCCCATGGCAGATTACGGGCCTGGCAGCAGCATTGGGAGGCCCGTAATCTGCCAGCACCCTATGACAAAAAATGGAACACACCAGCAGTGTGAGGAGACCTGAAAGTGGCACATGGCAGAGTGTGGCGATGGAGACAGCAGCAATGGGAGGCCGTACAGGGACCCATGAGACACTGTGGACCTGGCAGCAGCATGAGGAGGCGGTACAGGGGCCCATGGCAGATTAGGGGCCTGGCAGCAGCAATGGGAGGCCCGTACTCTGCCAGCACCTATGACAAAAAATGGAACACACCAGCAGTGTGAGGAGACCTGAAAGTGGCACATGGCATGACATGGAGACAGTGGACCTGGCAGCAGCATGATGAGAGACTCTGGACCTGGCAGCAGCATGAGGAGGCGGTACAGGGGCCCATGGCAGATTAGGGGCCTGGCAGCAGCTATGGGAGGCCCGTAATCTGCCAGCACCCTATGACAAAAAATGGAACACACCAGCAGTGTGTGAGGAGACCTGAAAGTGGCACATGGCAGAGTGTGGCGATGGAGACAGCAGCAATGGGAGGCCGTACAGGGACCCATGAGACACTCTGGACCTGGCAGCAGCATGAGAGGCGGTACAGGGGGCCCATGGCAGATTAGGGGCCTGGCAGCAGCAATGGGAGGCCCGTAATCTGCCAGCACCCTATGACAAAAAATGGAACACACCAGCAGTGTGAGGAGACCTGAAAGTGGCACATGTTTGGGGCATGATTCATGGCGGATTTAGTCAGTTGTGTCAGGAACTGGTGGTTTGAAATCCAGACTAATCCACGCCTGATTCATTTTCACAAACGTGAGTCTCTCCACACTTTGGGTGGACAGTCGTGTCCTCCGCGGAGTTACAATACCTCCTGCCGCACTAAACACGCGCTCCGAGATGCCACGCTACTGGCCGGGCATGACAGCCTTTCAAGGGCAAATTCAGCTAGTTGGGGCCAAAGGTCAAGTTTCGTTGCCCAGTAGTCAAGGGGATTGTCTACCTCGGTTGGCAGGGTGCTGTCCAAGTAGGCCCAAGCCTGTTGTTTGAGGTCCTGCTCCAGGTCCACCTGATGCTGCTGCTGCTGCTGCTGCGGCTGGTTAGTAGTTTCCTCACTGCGCTGGTGAAGAAAGCTAAGCTACTCATCATCGACTGCAGACTGAGGCAGCCGCTGCTGGTGGAGCTGCCACTGCTCCTACCACCCCACCCCTCCCCTGCTGCCATGGCAGCGGAACGCGAGCGCACAGGGCCCACAGTGTCTGAGGATGGACGTTGGCGCACAAAGGCAGAGACCAACTGACTACATAGGTGGTTTTTATAGTACGTTATTTTGGCCTCCCTCTCAGCAGGTGTGAAAAAGGCCACCATTTTTGAACGGTAGCGAGGGTCCAACAAGGTGGACAGCCAAAAGTCATCCCTCTGTCTGATGGTTATTATTCGGCTGTCGCTACGCAAGCAAGTGAGCATGCTATGGGCCATTTGTGCCAAGGAATGCGAGGGACTCCCTGCCTCCATCTCCACAGCATACTGCCACGGTGCGTCTGGGTCCTCTGTCTCCTCTCTCCTCCTCCTCTACCAGATGCTCCTGCTCCTCCACTCCTGTCCGCTGAGTGGAAAAACCACCCATTTCACTCAATAATTCCTGAGCACAAATGTCCTCCTCTACCTCCTCCTCTTCTTCCTGTCCTGCCCCCACAGGGGTCATGTGGCGTTGAGATCTGTGCGCCACGTCTACCGCACCCTGACCAGCCATTGTTAACAGCATTTGTTCCAGGACGTGCAACAGAGGAATGACGTCGTTCATCCCATAGTCCTGCCGACTCACGAATAGCGTGGCCTCCTCAAAGGGCCTGAGCAAGCGGCAGGTGTCACGCATGAGCTGCCAATGGCTGACATCGAAGTTACACAGGGGAGTACCTTTATCCGCTTGTAACATCAGGAAATCGGTGATGGCCTTTCGCTGTTCGTAAAGGCGGTCTAACATGTGTAGGGTTGAATTCCACCTTGTTGCAAGTCGCAGATCAGGCGATGCTGTGGAATTCCGTTCTGCCGCTGCAGCTCAAGGAGGGTGTGCTTTGCGGTGTAGGAATGGCTGAAATGCATGCAAAGTTTACGTGACATTTTAAGGATGTCTTGCAGTGGGATGGTGGATTTTAGGAACCGCTTGACAACCAGATTGAACACGTGAGCCATGCATGGCGCATGGCACAACCTTCCTTGGCGCAGAGCAGACACCATGTTCTTTCCGTTGTCGGTCAACATGGTTCCGATTTTCAGTTTGCGCGGAGACAGCCATCTGTCGATTTCTCTGTTCATTACACTGAGAAGTTCCTCCCCTGTGTGACTACGTTCGCCAAGGCATACCAGGTGCAGCACAGCGTGACACCGTTGCGCCCTGCACATGTGATATGCCGGTCGGGTAATGGGACTTGGCACGGGGGTGGCAGCTGAGGACACGGCGGAAGAAGAGGTGGTAGAGGCGGACATATTTTGTGGACCAAGGACGTGCAAAACGTGGAGGCAAAAGCGGCGTGACCTGTCCAAGTTGCTGGTGTGCGGCTGTGCCGGCACCACGTTCACCCAGTGGGCCGTAAATGACTTGTACTGTCCCTGACCGTAGTTACAGCTCCACACGTCGGCACTGCCGTGCACTTTGGCAGAGACCGACATGCTCAAAGACTGGCCCACCATCTCTTCTACATGTGAATGCAGGGCTGGCACTGCCTTTTTGGCGAAGAAATGACGGCTTGGCACTCTCCACCGCGGCGCGGCACAAGCCATCATTTCTCAGAAAGGTGCTGAGTCCACCACTTGAAAAGGGAGGGACTGCAGCACCAGCAACTTGGACAGGAGGATGTTCAGCTTTTGCAGCGTCGGGTGCGTGCTCGCAAACTGTTGTCTCTTGGAAACGGATTCCAAGAAAGACTGCTGACGGAATCCGTGAAGAGGATTAGCAGGAAAGAAGAGCATCTGAACGAGCGGAAGATGCCAACGAGCGACAACTCCCCTCAGCAGAGGTGTTGGAGCCTTGACTGGCTGATAGAGGGCGATTGACGTCGGGTGACGGAGCAAGTTACGGAGCGGGTGATGGAGCGGGGGCTGGGGCAGGCAGAACCGCCGTATCTTTATCACGGTTTTCCCAGGCCACCAAATGGCGACGCTGCATATGCTGCCGCAACGCTGTAGTCCCAACATGGGCCCCCTGGCCACGCTTGACTTTCTGGCCACATAGTCGACATACGGCTACGTTTACTTCCTCGGGCGGCTTGACGAAAAATTGCCACACCGCCGAGTAGCAAACTTTGCCCCCGATACTCCTCACTGGCTGACTGCTACTTCCTCCGTGCACACCGGCACCACTACTGGCCGTGGTGGTAGGCTGCAGTGGAGCTGGTGCTCTACTCCGTGGCCGTTTGCCTCCACTGACACTGCTGCGACCCTGCTGCCTCCTGGGCACCCACCGACTGTTTTGCTCGCTGCCAAGCTGCCACCCTCTTCTCCTGATGATGCGGAAGCAATAGCCTGATGACGACGCTGGCTGGCTGGCTGCTGATTGGCTAATGCGATCACATGTCATGAATGAATGCATTATGGGTTAGCGCGCCTTGTCTGCGCGCCTTCCCAGACATCCCCGCTCCGTCGCCGCACATGTCGCCGCCATTTTAGGAAAAATTTCGATTCGCGCATCCGAAGTATGCTAATTAGGAATCGAAATTTTCCTAATATTCGAATTATATTCGAATTATAAACGAATTCCACTTCGCCTAGTTCGATTCGCTCATCTCTAGCTGCCGTAGCTGATTTCTCCTAAAAAAAACTATACTTTTCCCCCTGTTATTCTGACACGTTTGATTCATAACTGTCTAAGTCACTGAATTTGAATTTGCAATTTGACTCTAATTCTCTTGAATTCCATTCTGAACCAGCAATTTAAAAAGTATTGAATAAGTCACTGGGTCAACATAACATCCAGGCAAAAAGCATTTTCAAAAGGAGGCTAGCTATTTCAAACAAATTGTGCTATAGACATACTTCAGGATGTGATGATTTTCTACAACTATAAAGATTTTTTGGCATCAATTCACCAAAAAGAATCTCCTCATTCTGTATTACAAATGACCCGGAAATTCAGTGTCTGTCAAGGACACTTAAAACTCCACCCAATATGCTATTTTCTATTTACATTGTTCCATTATCTCATTTAAGCTCCATGCACACTAGCTGTTAGGAGCAGTTTAGTAGCATTTAGCAGCGTTTTTTTCTACTGGAAAAAACGCTCCACAAAACTCTAAAAGAACTTTTTTTTTATGCAACTAGATGCTGCCACTCAAAAAATGCTAATAGCCTAAAGTAGTGTGCATGGACACACAGGATAACACTAAGGCTGGCCATAGATGGGCCGTTTATCGGCCAAAATGTCGGCCGATAAACGAAAAATTTGGTCGTTGCTGCCATGGAAGCTGCCACCAATGCTTAAGAAAAACAGATGCTTTTTGTAGATTTTCCAGCATGACCGATAAAAAGAAACGAGAAGATCCGCAGAAAAACGGCCAACGGCATTGCCCCACAAAACGGTATGAATATCGGCCGATTTTTCGTTCAGACAAAAATTCGGCCAATAAACGACCCATCTATGGCCTGCATAAAACATGCTAATAACAGCTTCTAGGAGCCTAAAAAATGCTAGTGTGCATGGAATCTTCATTTATAACCTTCAACAGTTCAAGAAAGAAAGATGTTATTTTAAACTTTTTGTCTTGACATCTTTCCCAACAGGATATGGTAAAAAAAAAAAAAAAGTCCCAATTCTCAGTTTAGTATGTGGTCAGAAAGCTAGTAAACTTTTAAACTAATTGCATCAAATGCCAAAGTCATTTTGTGGCTATTCTCTATGAAACACAGTTCAGAGAGAAAGGGGGAATTGACCTTTCATCTCATCATAATAACAGCACATTGTGGCTTCTCTCGCAGTAAAGTTACTTAGCATGGGAAAAAATTTCTGACACTGGCACATATTAAGACACTGTTAGGCAACACAAATTAAAAATGTCCATGCATTTCTAAGTAATCTGGATGTAGCCGTGAAAACTGTGAGAGCATTTATTTAATTTCTAGCTACAGCTGAAACTGAGTTTTTTTTTTAATTGTAAGAGTTTATTCCCTTGTCATAAACTCCTACACATACTATTTATGTCTTGTCTTGTGGAGCAATTCTAAAGACTTTAAAGGATTTTCTTTAGAGGGGGGCTTACAATTTCTTTGGGCAAAGTGTGGTCATCAGTGTTTCTATATCTGTTGATAGTAAGAGAAGAGAGAACGATCTTTACATTATGTGTTAGCCTTAAAGGCTAAGTTCACCTTTTTGAAAAAAATATTAATAAATACACATCTTTTTTTACAAATTCTATTTATTGATTTTAAACAGCTATACAGCAATACAATACAGCAAAACTCAAAAAACAATAAAGTAAAAAAAAAAAACAAAAACAAAAAAAAGGAGGAACCAGTATGCTTCAATAGGTGTAACCAACCATCAAGCAGAGTTGCACATTGAGAAATAAGAAACCAGTAGTGGTACATACCAGCAATAAA